ATAAGCATGAGAATAACTGTAAAAAAGGGAAGTGTGACCAGCAATTAGCAATAAATCAGCCAGCCAAGCATAAGAGTGACCATAGCAGACAATAACTATTGCAGCGATAACTAAATTTTAAATTTATAAATAAAAACATAGAGGAAAAGGTATTTAGCATCTACATAAATGAATTGGGCAACACTGATAAGACTTATACGATTTGGCGCATGAGAAAAAAAAAAAAAACAATAATTAGTGCTGTAAAATGTTGAACAAGTCAATTTCCGTTGAAAAGAGGTGCAGCAGCAGCAGCAGCAGCAGCGCCGGACGTTTGTTTTTGATGGCGTGCGAAAAAGTACGCCCCCGCCCCCCGCCCCCCTCACTCCCACTCTTCCACTCTGTGGCGAGCTGGTCAGCGAGTGTTACGAGCGTTATCAAAGTATGACGCATTCATGAGACCGTGTAAAACTTGCATGGAGTACAAGGAATGTATCTTTATATCTTTTTTTTTTAAGGTAAGCATGCGGTATATTCACCTTTGTTTTTGGTTTGCCTCACCACGTCGCGTATCTGCAGCTCGATAATGCGCCGCAAATATTGATCGATGTGATTCATCATTTCGTTTGTGTACATTTTGTTCACATTCACAAAATTAATACAACTAACAATAACAATAATACTTATAATAATAATAATAACGAAAACAATTACGAATCGCGCCCCTTGTGCACCGATCTCGAAGAGAGAGAGAGTTACGTAGACTCTGCCAGCCACTTGGCTGCGGCCGCGTCGAATTCAGAACTGAGGCGAAGTGCGACAGTTGCGATCGCTTCTTATCAGCACATTGCGCTTATCAGACTATTCCCAATTGGGAACGTGAGCGAGCGAAGCAAAGGAGGGAGCGAGAAATGGAGAGCGAGAGAAAGAGACTGCAACGTGTGTTGGGTGTGACCGTAAGGTGTGCAGTGCACTGCACAACACGGTTTTAGTTTTATATAAAAACAACACTTTTTTTTGTAAACTAAATTATTATATTGCATTATTTTAAAAAGAAGATATCTCCCATTGCATACCAGAGATCTATTTCCTTACCTTCTGGGATAGACAAAGTATCAATGGGAACAACAGAATTTTAGATTCAATAAGTCTTAAGTTTTAAGAAATTTTGATTTTTTGCAGGTTTTTGCGAACATTGTAGTTTGCTTTTCAGCATTCCATCTATCTTCCGCATATGCCAGTGAATTCGCCATAATCTTTTGCTCGGATTATTCTTGCATAACTGACTCTTAATTGGACAAGTTAGCTTTTTAATGGATTAGGAATTGCTCATCAAAGAGATGAGATAGATAAGTCGAAATATTTGATTGTTTAAGTGGAACTTTGACATCGTGTTTATTACCCAATTTCCACCTTACCTATATATAGAGTTAAGAGTTCGCGAATTACAACCTTGGAGGAATATTTTCCAAAAACTTTCCATATAGACGTCATCGCAAGAACCTTCACCGGAAATTAGTTAACGCTTGACAGCGCTTCAGAGCGCGACGAACGTGAAGAGTCGACAAACAGCAAGTGGCAACAACAGCAACAACAACAACTGGAACGTTAACAAATGCCACACCGAATCAGAGTCCACTTACAGTTTGAGAGCAACTGCCTAGGCTGGTAATTTTCATCAAGTTCGTTGGCATTCGCGCTAATTTGATTTGAGTGCAATGACAGGAGCCGCAAGAACCAGACCCAGACCCAGCAACTCGCACCCCCCCCCCCTCCATACCCCCCTCCGCTGCCACGCCCACTAGCTGCGTCTTGAGCCTGTGACTAGGTGCAACATTTGCTGCGCCCGCTGTGCGCGCAGTTAGCTTCCAATTAGCCATATTCCAATTAGACAAGCGCATTCCACTTGTAACTCGTAACTTAGGCAAATGTTTTTATTTTCGATTTTGGAACTGGAATTTGGAGCAACTTGATGCATTGACAATTTTATTTATGTGGCACAAACAACGAATTGTTGTTGCAGCTGCGCGCCGCCCGACCAAAGAAAATGCCAGCGTGAAAATCAAATGAAAATAAACTCGAGGCGCTACCAGAAACTCAATTGGGCGTCTGATTTATGCCAAATGTGTGCGAGTGCGAGTGTCTGTGTGTGTGTGTGTGTGTGTGTGTGTGTGTGTGTGTGTGTGTGTGTGTGTGTGTGTGTGTGTGTGTGTATCTCTGTGTGTCTGTTATTCCAACTTAAAGCACATTTTAGACACCTGCCGACTGTCGATTAATCACCGGCATCAAGTTGCCCGACCTAATCACGAGTCATTCAGATAACGAGCGAGCCCTAATCATAGTTAAGTAATTCAGAAGTCGGCACAAAATATGATATGATATGAACCACAGTAAATAAAAAATAAACTGATGTACAAAATGTTGTTAAAAGAAAATTATTCGCTTCAATGCAAGCTGCATTTTAACGAGCTGCAAAAAGTGAATTCCACAAATGAGCGTGGAAAATTGGTGATAAACTAGAGAATGTAACTAAGCTTATTATATTATCAAATTAGATGCATGCATTCATCTCCAGCTAGATGCAATTTAAAACTAACTTTGCAAGTTCCACACATTTCGCAGAAACCACCAACACGAGCGGAAAATAGATGAAACATTTTATGCACTACAATTTGCAATTTAAGTGCATTTTCAAGCAATAATAAACAGAATTAATTGAAGATCCAATTATTGTTGCACAAACTTGCGTGGAAGAAACGTAAAAGCATTTATGCAAATTCTTCTACATACAGGCATATACATATATATTTCTTTCAAGATAATTATTATGATAATAATTTAGTTGTTGTTGCTGTCAGCTGTGTCTACAATTTCTCTGGCTGAATCGAGGAATCGCTTTAAATGACAAACAGACTCTGACTAACTGCAATATTCCAATGAGAACAAACACACACACGCACACACACACGCACACAGATTTGTGCACTGGCATTGCAAATGTGTCTGTTTGTGGATTTTGTTTATCGCGCAGTTATAAAGCTCATAAATGCTTCTTTCTTTTTTTATTATTTGTTGTTGTTATTATTTATTATTGTTCCTTCTACTTTCTGTTTTGCAGCGCTCAACTGAATTTCAGCTCAATTAAATATCATCGCACGAGCAATTAACAAACAAGAGTTCGCTAGCTCGACTAACAGATACCCAGTTGCACACAATTCATGAGAAGCGCGTAGAACGGTTGGTGATTTTCAGCTATTCTTCTCTCTTTCATGCATCCGCTTTCTCTCTCACTCTGCAACCTCACCCTTCCCTTTAAAAATCGATCCTCTTTACGCTACAACTAGATATACCCAATTGATGCAATGCTTAATGAGCACAGGGTATAAGGAGACAAGCGAATGCGAACGAATATGAATTAAAAACACGCACACTTCGGCGTGTGTGTAGAATATGCAAGCTGCAGTTGGAAAGTGATTGCTCCGAGCATCTCAAACTGTTCCACTGTAGGCAAGTCAAGGGGGTGGGCGGACGGTGTGGCGTGTCCGTGTCACATTGTGGCAAAGCGGAAGTGCGCCGGGCGAGAGGCAAACGTCAAGTACAAAACATGAAGGGAAAATGACGAAAACAAAAACAACGCAGCCAAGGGGATGCAAGGTGGAGGGGGGAGGGGGGGGTGTAGAATGTGCATGCAGTTATATGCAAAACAAAGAAAGAAAGAGCGGGGGGTGGGGTATGTGTTAAGAGTTTACAGTTGTGCCAACGATTACGATAACAATGACGATAACGATAACGATTACTCACCATTGAGGTCCTTGGTTAATTGCGAACGCGTCGACATTTTGACTGGTGGCCCAAAAATAATTATTATTGTTGTTGTTGTTGTTGTTGTTTATAAGTTTGCGGCGAAAGTGGCAGCAATTTGGCAGCGAGCGAAAATGAAGTCAAACAGGAATAACCACAAGGCGGCACTGGCCTTTGCGGGCGGAGGCGGTGGCTGCGGCGGCGGTGGCGGCGAATTGCGTGCTGTGTGCAAGGCGAAAAGGGCCCAAGCAATTTGGAGTTTGTTGTTGTTGTTGTTGTTGAGGCTGTTATTGTTGTTGTTGTCGAAGCGATTTCAAGCGCGAGTCGCCTCGCATCAAACTGGATTTAAGGCCGGACTACGGACTACGCCTGCCGTTTAAGAACAGGAACAGCCTTAAATTGTTGCTCGCACATTTTTCGCAACGGTTTTCCTCATCGTTTAACACAGATGCACAACTTTGTTTTTTTTTTCTTTCGTTTTTTATACACACACGCAAACACTTTTTCACGGTTTTCCACCCTCGTTGGGGGATCGGTTGGTCTAGCTGATTTGCTCTGCTAACAATTGTTTTGGCTTAAGCTATCTATTCTAATGGATATTGTACACTTTGTTTAAATGCTTTATCAATTTGTTTTATTTGAATGTTTTGATTATTTGCTTTGGAATTCTTGGATTTCGTTTTGGTTTTTATTTTTTTTTTTTTTTTTGCCGCATTCGCTTTGAATAATTTGTTGGCAACGTACAAATTGAACACTTGTGGTGTTAACTGTGTGGCGCTGCTAGCAATTGACTTAATGCGCCGCACAGTTAATTTATTTGACTAACAATGTTTTGCAGTGGTTTGCAAAAATTGTGCTTAAAAATTAATGTAAAACTTATGCGCGCTGGCACCGCGAACAGCACACACGACTAATGAAAAGCGTTGGGTCTACTGAATAGTGTGACCAGTTGTCGCAAGCCGCCAAAATGTGTACAATGCATCATAGGAAAATACCAAACAGCTGTTGTTCTAAACAAACTGAGAACAAACCATTTCACAATGAAGTGCCCTTTTTAGCTGTAGTTTGACTTATTTGATTTCAATTGAAGCCATTTATTGTTTATTTATTCACTTCAAATGCATTTATTTTTTTTAGTGCACTGGCAGCCCTAGAATTTGAGTGCTGTAAATGGTGCAACGAAAGTAACTGTACAACACTCAACTTGCCGCACGCTGAATGGCGCTTGAACCTAACACTAAAAGAGGAAGCAAATATCAGTTGAGCAGACAACATTTGGAGCGCAAAAATGGCAAATGTGCGCTGTTTGCAAAAAGTGATACGCATACAAAAGTTTGTGCTCCCACTCAGTAAGTAAATTATCAATTAAGCCACAACTGTTAACACACCATACCAAAACCGCGCGCGCCTCGGCATTTCACAATTCGCAATTCGCCCCTACGCATACATTACGAAAGACGTGCGAGATTGGCATTCAAAGCGAACAGCTGTTTTATTTTATTCTCGGTCCGACTTATACGTCAGGGGGGGAATGGATAAAGCAAATGCTGCCGCTGCCGGTTGTCAGCTTATTTAGAATTTTCCGTTTAAAGTCAAAGTTAAAAAAAAAGAACAAAAAAAAAAAACCATAGAAACTAGTGTAAATTAAACAGCATATGAAAATGGATACGGTAACAGAAGCCGAGAACCTGCTGCGTCTCATCAAACGGATGCTGCTCGAACGCGACTACGACGGCGTCAAAATGCTCTTCCAGAGTCCCACAGTCTTTGCCGAAATCGAGCCGCACATGGCCGCCATTGCCATGGAGCTATACAATGAGATATGCGCTCCGACATTGACGGACGACACAAATGTGGATGATGCGCCGCTGTTCGATTGCGTCAATGAGCTGCTCAAGATTGTGGCCAGATATGCGTCACTGCATCCGTTCATGCTGGAGCTGATGGAGAAGATCGAGGAGAGCAGCAGCATTGCCATATTCTCGGCCTATCTGCGCGCCCTGCAGGTGGTGCTGCTGCGCCAGGGCAGCGCCAAGCCGCAGGCCATCGAATGGTGTCTGTCGTCGGTGGTGACGCGTATCCGTGAGCTGCCGCTGCCGGACTATCTGAGCGAGGGCTACGACGAGCAGCAGGCCCATTTGCTCGAGCAGGAGCAGCAAATCGAGCAGCTGATGGCCCACTACATCACCATCGATCTGTGCTACGAGCCGCTGCTGAAGGCGGTGCTCCAGCAGGATGCGCGTGCTCCGATCTTTCGCGATTGCGGCCTGAATCGCCGCAATGTGCTCACCTGCTTTCTGCTGCAGCTGCTGGGCAAGCCGCTGGCCCTGCTGGAGGTGAGCAATGTGCCCAAACGACTGCTGCAGCCAGGCCAGGCGCACACCTGCACGCCCAGCCCGTGGCGCCTGCGGCCGGAGCTGACGCAACAGAACTATCTGCTGGCCCGGGCCAATGCGGGCAAGACACAGACCTATGTGCAGCAGGTGCAGCACACGCTGACCTCGGACATCACACGGCTGCTGGGCGATCCCTACTATTTGCTGGGCCTGGTCGAGCAGCGCGCACGCTGGAAACGCCGCCTGGATGCCGCCAACGGCGTCTATGAGATGAGCAGCCACAATATGTTCCTCATCGATGACAAACTGCCGCTGCCCGCCCTCGCCATGTACTACCATGCGCTGCTCGTGGGCCAACTGCTGCCGGCGACGGCGCCCAAGATCTATGCGCCGCTCTTTCTGTTCGAGTCGAGCCTGTATTTGGTGGCCGTGCTGCTGGAGCAGCCCGAGCCGCCGCTGCAGCACTGCGGACTGCGCCTCAACGATTACATGCTCAGCATTTTGACGGAGGCCGTGCCGCAGCGTTCGCTCGATCTGGAGGTGCACAAACGCTACTGCGAGGCACTGTGCAAGATAACCGGCTACTCGCCACAGGAGCCGCTGCGTCAGCTGGGTCTGCAGGTGCTGCATCACTATATACTCGCCTTCGAGGATGCGGCCAAGTACTTTATATTGAAGAATTTGCTGGAAACGCTACAGCACGACGGCATCTTGGGCTATTTGGCGGGCATGTACAAGGATCTGGTTGCCGCCGCCTTGGAGAAGAAGGCGCCGCTCAGCGACGTTTACAGCGGCATCAAGTTTCGCTCCATGCTGCTCAGGTGCGTCTGTGTGCTGCCGCAGGATGTCAAATCGGATCTGCTGCTGCACTCGGTCAGTTTGTCCAATGCTCTAAACATTCTACGCTACTTTGCCATGGCTGACCTCGAGAATCGGACGGGCTTCTGGCATGCGCTGCCCGAGATTGAGGAGCGTCTGCTGCAGCCGTTGGGCAAGGCACTCAACTTCTCGCTGGCCCACTACAAGGCGTACAGGGAACGTGTCCGCAATGGCCAGAGCGCCTCCGACGATGAGCTTATGCAGAAGCAGCTCAACATGCTCGCCGTCAACATCAGCAACAGCGGCATGGGCGGTGAGGGCGAGGGCGATGGCAACTTGCCGGACATTGGACGCGAGGAGAAGCTCGAGGTGCTGGCCGGCTCCATAACGGGCCTGGAGTCGCTGCGCGTCCTCTATCTACTGGCCAGCGATAATCTCGAGCAGAGCATCGCCAGGCGCAAACAGGCCACTGCAACGAACACGACCACGCCCACAGCCATGGAACTGGAACTGGAGCAGCGCTAGGCAAAAAGAAAACCCGAATTCCAGAAGGCAGCATATATTTTTATGTTTATATCTGAAAGCGTAATGAAAACGAAATTTGTCTGACCAATTGTTTGGCCTTGGATTTAGTTTTGTTGGGGCTCTGGGGCTTTTCGGCCAGCAGGTGTTAATTGCCCAACAAGCTGGGGCCAGATGAGCTGACGCTTTTGTGCTCCAAATGGTGTTAATTAACTACGCAGCAGACGCTTTGCTTGCTTTTCGCGACCTCCAATGTCATTTGTACCTAATTGCAATTAGAAACTAGGTGGATGAGCAGAGGGCAAGCGCGTGTTTGTCACATAAATTTGAACTGGTTTAACTTCAATTAAGCTAACTAAAAGCTAGAAGCTTTAGAAGAATCAAGAATGTCAAAGCAACTTAAAGCTTTGCTTGGAAACGAAGTTAAAGCTAAAAGCTTTAGTAAAATATTTGCTTTAGGACTATCAGAAATGTCAAAGCGATTTAAAGCTCACTTAAAGCTCGAAGCTTTTGTTAACTACGTACTTGAAGAATATCAGAAATGCCAAATCAAGTTGAAATAATTAAAGCTCGCTTAAACTCGAAGCTTTCGTTATACATGTAATATGTCAGAATGTCAGAGTAACTGGAAAACAATTAAAGCTCAAATCATAATCTTAAATAATTGTTTGCAATCTTAAAGTTTTTTAAAACCTCGAGAATCAGCTAGAAATGTGTTCCCTCGAAACAATTATGTTCTTCTAAGCTGCCTATGTTACTTTCTCCTGTTTAAAGAATTATGTTTCTCTCTAATTATGTTTGTAAACCAAAACCCTTTACAGATGCTCAGGGCTGCTGGCTGGCCGCCACATGCAGCAGCGGAACAGCGGCAACTTTTCACACACTTCATCAGCAGCAGCAGCAGGAGCTGCGTTCAAAATTAAAGCCCGCCTGCAGTTTAAGACGCAGCTATGCCAAAGACAGCGACAAGCTTGAGGAGTTTCGAGCGCGCGAGGAGCAACGCGAACGGGAACGCGATGCAGCCGAGCAGAAGCCGGGCACACAGTCAGGTGCAGATGGAGGCACCGCCGGATCAGGCGGAGATCAGGGCAAACAGAGCGCAGAGCAGGCGGCCAAGCAGGCCAAGGTGGATGGCATACGCAGCCGCATATTAGATGCCGCAATGCTGCATGTGCCACAGCACGGCTGGAGCAAGCAGGCGATTGTCCAGGGCGCCGAGGAGTGCGGCCTGCCAAGCGTTGTCCACGGCATGTTTCCCGAGGGCGGCTTTGCGCTCGTCTCGCACTTCAACGGCAAGTGCAATGCAGAGCTGGTGCAGTGCCTGCAAAAGCAGACAGACAACGGTCAGAAGGAGGTGAGCGATCCGCTTGATTTTCTCGTACAGGCTGTGCGCCAGCGTCTGGAAATGATTGAGCCATACAAGAGCCAGTGGCCGCAGGCCATGGCGTTGATTGCCCAGCCGCAGAATGCATCCACAGCGCTGGCGCAGGTGCTGACGCTGGTCGACGACATCTGCTACTATTCCGGCGATCGTTCCGTGGATGTAAGTTGCGCCCAACCCATTCACTGAGAGCTTCTACCCAATTAATCCCCATTAATGACTTGTCCATAGTTTGGCTGGTACACGCGACGCATTGGCTTGGCCACAATCATGAAAATGACAGAGCTCTACATGCTGCAGGACACTTCGCCGGGCCATGCACAGACGTGGGAGTTCCTCAAGAACCGCATGGACGAGGCCGTACAGCTGCAGATGGCCCTGGCCCAGACCGAGGGCATGACACACACATTTCAACGTTCCTTCAACTCGGCTTTCATAACGGTGCGAAAGTCCACCTCCCTTAACTCACTTAGAACTAATCCTAAATCTCTTTCAATCTGACTCACAGGCGCGAAACATACTCGGACTGGGCTATGGCCGCCATTAGCGAACGCCCAAAAACCAGCGAAAGTCCAAAGAACAGGAGAGTGTTGTATAAAAAGAAATATATATATAAAGATTTATACCTATAAACCGTCATAATATACCTGATATATGTATACTTTTAGATTGTTGTTCCAGCGGGTCGATATTTCGCATTGGCAGCTGCGTTTATGCCCTGTTTCAATCGCGACTAGAGAGATTAAAGAGTATGGAGAGGATTAATATTACCAGGCTTTCGTTCAATTTCTCAACTAAGAATTGTTTTATAAATCGATAAAGGTCTCAAAATAGTTTTCTATGAACTTTACATAACATTATCACAATTATAAAAAATCGTTGCAAATTTCTAATCACGTTTGGTTAACACGACATAAACGCAGCTATTAATTATAATTGGAATGTAAGAGCTCTTCAATTTGTACAAATGTTAAATCCAGCCTAACTGGGTCTTAGTGTACTTATGATGGGATGGGGGAAAGTGAATATGAGCGGGAGTATGCCATATTTATGTAATCTAAATATAATACGCTTAATTAAACTTGTTCAAAAAATCGCTGCTCAAGTCGGAAGTCGTTGAAATGATATCAATTTATTTGTTTTTATAGACATGGAAGGAGACATTGATATGGCAAGATCCTGTAAATGCTATTGAAATTAATTAAGATGTTTGTTTAGTCAGTTTATATGTCAGCCGGAACGAATTGCCATAGGTACTTGCCAAAGGTTCTGCTAGTTAGCAAATCATTCGTTCATCAGGCCAAAATCTCACCTATAGCTACTATATTATATACAACTTATAGGAACAGGGTAATTAAATTAGCAAATCAGTTGTCATGCAACAACTCAAAGGACTGGACTGTCTTTGGCAAAGACACTTTTAAGTCTTTTTTGACTAACAAATTGTGGTTTATTCTTGATTTTTTTATAACACAACTATGAAACGCGCACTGGTGAGGCGCTGCGCGAGATTATTGCTGACTGACCATACTTGGAGAAAAGGTTGTCTACTGGACATTGGAAAGGTGCGCTTGTAATGTGTGCTGCGCCGAGCTATCGGTTTGCTCACTCCTGGCCCGCTTTGCAACGGACGGTGCCAATCGGGCGCGCACGGGCAGCACTTTCTCTGGCACCGGATAGCGGGATTTCCATGTCCAGGTGTCCTCCTCATGTATGGGATCCATATATGGCGCTGGAATGTCAAAATCGATTTCGTTACGCCGGTTAGCCTGGTCACGAGCATTCTCCAGATGTAGTTGTTGTTGTTTTCGATGCCAGGCAGAAGTTGACAGCATGCGCAGCTGTTTATCGCCGGACGCCAGATTGGCTGGGTTACCTCTGCGCTTGTTGCCCCTTTTGACGTTGGTTTTGGCAGCCACCACATAGGTATACAATTCGGATATGTCCTTGCACAGATCTGTATGCTTGATCGGCTTGCGATTGGGCGACGGATAGGGATACAGGAGCTTGTAGTCCCCTCTGTTCGGTCCGTGGCAGCGATCCGATAACTGTCGCACCGGACAGAGCGGACATGCATAGGGTATTGGCGCACAGGGCGTCCATTCCATGCGGCAACAGTGTTGGCACATTTCCTAGCTCTGTTATTAAAAAAAAAGCCGAACTTTCAAGAAATTTACCAAACGATTTCTATGTGGGGGACCTTTCGAATTTTGTGCCTGAACAACAAACAAAAGTCAGCTACCAGCAAGGCGTTACAAATTTCAGTGTGCTATGATCTGATCTAGGACAGTTAAAACAGTGATTTGTTCTAGTTTTTAAAATAATATACAACAGTTTCCTAAGCTTTGTTCTATTATTGGAATATTATTTAAATCTTTCATTTAATTTTCCCAATAATTTAACCACATTAAGCTCCACTTCTTAAATGCCTTAAAGCTATTAACTAAGTTATATTTTCTATCAAATCTATCTCCCGACATGAATATAAGAAGTTTAGATTGGAAGCATTATCTCAACTTAATCTTTGGGTTTCAACAAATTCTTATTGTATATTTCAAAATCTTTGCAGCTTTTCAGCATTGTTAGTTGTTTAAATTGAATTAAAACCCCTAAGCTACACACAAATCTAACTAATTACTTAAAAGGTATTGCACTAAGGAAAACATTTATAACAAATATCCCTCATTTGCGCACAAGCTAGGGCAAAGGCTGTAGGTACGTTCCATCATCTGCCGGCAGCTGCTCCACTTTGCTGTGAATTTATGATTATAGTATATGTGGATTAGGCTAAGTTTTATTCCATTTATGCTTACCTATGCACATTGTCTGTTTGCTCGTTGGTCTGCAGATTTTGTTGCTTGGATTGCTGCAACAGACGCAGTGGCACCTCCTTGGTGGCCACTATCATGTTATCCAGACGCTGCTTAAGCTCGGCAAAAGTGGGTCGATTGCCGGGTACGGAGCACCAGCAGCTTTCCATCAACGCGAACCTGTTCCAAGTTGATGGGAAGATTGGTTACTTATGTATCATGATGCAAAGGAGGTTTAAGTCCGTAGTTCTTAATTGTTTCCAGTTCGAAGCAAGGCCTGACAAGCCCAGGCGAGGTTTTTGCTCGAACCGCAAAGCAAACTATCTATCTATATACTCAAAATTTGTATACATTTCATCCGTGCAGCCGTCGGGTCGTCTCATGCGCTGTCCCTGACGCAGCAGCTGCAGCAAATCTCTGGGCGAAATTGAAGGATACGGCATACCACCCAGCGTTGTAATCTCATAGAGCAGCACGCCAAAGGACCAGCTAAAAGTCAAGCAAAGATAATTTAACTATGTTCCATCAGACTAAAGCTCACTTACACATCGCTCTGACTGGTGTACACCTGATGGGTTAGCGACTCCAGTGCGAGCCATTTGATGGGCAGCTTGCCACTGCCGCCGGATTTGCGATAGACATTCTCATGGTAGACATCACGGCTGAGGCTGTAGGAAATTAATATTAATATGTTTCTCATATAGTTCATCATCATCATATTACTTACCCAAAGTCCGCTATCTTAATGGTGCGATCCGATGAGATGAGCACATTGCGTGCCGCCAAATCCCGATGCACAATCTTGTTCTGTGCCAGAAAGTCCTGTGAACAAACGGATATATTATTGTCTAAACATTTCGTCAACTAAGCACTTACCATGCCAACGGCCACCTGATGTGCAATGTCCAGCAGATCGGCATACTTGAGCGGCTGCCTCTCCATTTGTTTATTAGCTGCAGGTGGCTCAAAGTACTCCCTGTTCTCGAAGCTCACCGTGCAGCTCCTAGCAGGTGGCTGTTTGTTTTGGTTGCGCTTCAATATGGTCTTCGGACATACGGCTGCCGCATTCGCATCAATATTCTCAATCTCATGCAGTCCATAGGATTTGTTGTCTGCAGCGAGCGTTGCCTTGGTCAAGTTGTAGCTATCGAGGTGGCTGCTGTTTCGCGAGAGATCCGTTTCGGATTCCTCCTCTAGTGTGGACAACATGGAGCCATTAATATCCTCAATGCGTGTGTCATTATACAGGAGATGTCTGGAGCGCTGCTGATGCGTTGTCTTCTGGGGTTGCGGCTGCTTTGCTGGGTTCAGCTTAAGCCGCATGTCCTGAACGCTGCGCTCCTGCTGGAACTTCCATTCGTCGCTGTAAGGAAAGGCATTAGAAAGTTTTCCATATACATACCCAGTCCTACCGTAAAAAGCTCTGCAGGCTTCCCAGACCGCAGTACTCGGTGAGCAGCATCATGCGATTGCTGAACCTGGTCGAGTAGCCCACAATGCCAACAATATTTGGATGTCTGCCGACGGCGCGCAGCATTTGTATTTCGCACTTAAAAGCCTGCACATCCTCCTCATTGGGCTGGTCTAAGAAAAGGCATTAATAAGCTGCGCAGCTCCCAACGCTTCCGACTTACCTTTGAGCAACTTGACGGCCACCTGACGCTGCTTGTAGACGCCGCGGCGCACCAGGCCAAAGGCGCCCTCGCCCAGTACATCCTGCAGCAGCACAGCATGTGGCTCCACCTCCAACTCATCATCAAGTTCAAAGTTATCTTCGGTGGCGAGCGTGGCCAACAGGCTGCTGCTGTTGATCAATGAAAGATGAAAATCGGCAGCCTGACTGGGCGCTGACTTGAGCTCCTTGGTCTCCAGCTTCTGGCACTCCTGCTGGCGCCTGTGCTTACGCAGCGTCATTGAGCACAAAGCGAGTATACAGCAGACGGGCACAACAAGGAAGAGTATTAACTTAATCACGCTGCTTTCTGTGTATCGATTGGGAAGTTATCCATAAGTTTATAAATCTTAAAGCAGCACAGTTTACCTTTCATCCAAACCTCCAGCGGTGCCTTGCTCAAAAACTGCATGGATGCATTCTGGCCGCCACGTGTGTGCGCCACCAAATGCACCTCAAAGTTGGCACCCAGCACAGTTATATTGGATATATAAAAATGGCTGGCATTGCCCTCCACTGTGTACTTGGCCTGTTCGCTGTCCGTGTGCAGATCGAGTATGTACAGCGTATAGTAATCCGGCAGATATCGCGGCGGTGACCAGCTGATATTTAGGGCCAAAACATCCTGATTGAAATGCTGCTGCTGAACGCTTACGTTACTCGGTTTAAGTGGAGCTGCAATGAATGGCAAGGAGTTATTATAAGTCTTTCTCTATGCTATGCCATTTCAACTTACCGCAGAGCGTGTAGTTGTAATCAAACCAATCCAAGCAGCTTGGCGCCTGCAGTATGAGCCACTGCACTGGACTCTCCAGGCTATTCTTGTCGTTAACTGTTCGCACACCAATCCTGAAGTGTTCACCAAATTCCATATTGGGTATTGTATAGGTATACAGCTGGCGGGGCTGTGGAAGAGTACAGATATCATTAAAATCTTGTGGTGAAAATGATTAGAGCTGGGCAAAGATGGATTGAAGAACAGTCTTCTGTGCAAAATCCAAATGTGCTAGAGTCACGAAACATGATATGTTGCTTCTAAAATATTATATATTTGTCAAGTATCTTTCATTTGATACCTATCGCCACCACTCCGCTACCACCCCAGAGCTATAAATCAAGTTAATAACCCAACTTTTATTGCCAACCAATTTAAGCAAAAATTTAAATGCAACTGACCTTTTCAGTATACACAAATATTCTATGATACAATAAGATATACCGAAGAAAATTTCATAAAGATCGGTTAAAAAAAAACCAATTGAATAGAGCAGCTTCTTTAAGAATTTCTCTATACATGTACAAACACACATTCATGCGCGTCTGCTTCGCGTTTTAACATCATGGTCTTCCAAATCATCAGGTTTTTTTTTTTTCAAAATTGAGGTTCTCAATCATAATCTCGGGTAAATAATGTCTGATTTTAAAATGTTATACCTTGTTGAATACGTATGGATCCCTACCATCAATCAACGTTCACGATATAACTCCGCGCGGAGATATGACGTTCCAAAACGACATAACTCCGCGCGGAGATATGACGTTCCAAAACGACATAACTCCGCGCGGAGATATGACGTTCCAAAACGACATAACTCTGCGCGGAGATATGACGTTCCAAAACGACATAACTCCGCGCGGAGATATGACGTTTCAAAACGACATAACTCCACGAGGAGATATGACGTTCCAAAACGACATAGCTCCACGCGGAAATATGACGTTCCAAAACGACATAACTCCGCGAGGAGATATGACGTTCCAAAACGACATAACTCCGCGCGGAGATATGACGTTTCAAAACGACATAACTCCGCGAGGAGATATGACGTTCCAAAACGACATAGCTCCATGCGAGATATGAGATATGCTTTTCCAAATCATCAGGTTTTTTTTCAAAATCGAGGTTCCAAATCATAATCTCGGGTAAATCATGTCTGATTTTAAAATGTTATACCTTTTTGAATGCGTACGGATCCCCATCAATTGGCACCATCAATTGGCATTCAAACAAATTAATCATCGATGTCCGTCTGTCTGTCTGTCCGTCTGTTCGTATGTATGAACGCAAGGATCTCAGAACCTATAAGAGCTAGACACAATTTTAGATGTAGGTGCTCCTAGTGCCCGCGCAGATCGAGTTAATTTCCGATAATGGATAACTTACTCCGCTTCCAAGCAATCGATAAAAATCGATATCGATATCGATATACTGTTTTTTGGGCAATTTTGGTAAATAATAAGAGCTAGAGTCCCCAAACTTGACATATAGCTTCTAAAATAGAATATATATATGCATTTGATGTTGGAAGAAGAGGGTTCAGGGTATCCCCAGGTCGGGAGCACCCGAATAGAACCTCTTACTTGTTATAATTAGAGCAGACTATTGCCAAGTCCGGCTCTTGCTGGTTAAAAGCATGATGCACTTACATCACGAAAATGAACTGGAGTGGGCGCCTCCATGCTTTGGCTATCCGTTGAATAGTATATCATATCAAAGTAACAGTTTCGTTCTGCAAGAGATAAAAACGATATTAAACGGTTTTTTTTTCTTTGGTACTTCCCATAACCTCCCCCATCCCATTAAAAATACCTGCTGACGGCTGCCATTCAATTACGGCTGCGATGCGCCGCAAATTGTCGGGCTGCTCTTGAAATTTCCTTAGCTTAACCTCGCCCATTTTGCTGGGCTGATAGCCACGCCTCAATGTTTGAAAGCCCTCCTCCAAGGCTATAAGCGAATAGGCGCCATCGGCGTGCACAGCCAACGTCGTAACATTATACGTAGTATTTGATTCCAGCTCGGGTATGGTAAAGAAACTGTCATCTGACTAGGTTAACGAACGATTAAAACGAAGATTAGCTCGGCTTGAAATTCCCTTAAATAAGTTGATGATAGTTACCAAATAGAGAATCGATTCCAAACCAGTTAATTTAGCATCGATTCTAATGATAAACATGGCATCTGGGGCACTTTGTGTGAAATTGTGCCGCGCATGCTGCACCCAATTGATGCGGAATGTCAAGTTGTACTCCGTGCGGCAGACGAGCTTCAAAAGGAAATTCTCCTGTATTTTACGTAGTCTTCTTGGCATTAAATCGCTGGAATTGTCGTTCTTACAGTACTCGTAGCAGGCAGTAAAGTTCTGCAAAATGCAATCGTGTTAAAAACTAAGAGCTTTGATTGGTGGTGGCCACCAGTTGATCTGACCTTTTGCGGCATTTTAATCAGGCAGTGCTTGGAGCAGGCGGTCAAATTTAGCAGCGAGTCATCCTCGGAGAGCTGGCGCATGAGCATCATATTGCCCCGATAGCTTGCCATGAGCACCCAGAAGATAAACACATATTTTGCATAGAACAGCAGCATTTTGTTCTTTTCGCCCCTTCCTTTCTTTCTTTTTCCGATCTCTCTCCCCTCTCTCTCTCTCTCTGTCGCTCTCTTCGTTTGCTGCGCCAATGCTGCACGGTTATTGCACTTTCCTTTTATGGCACTTGGACTTGCGGTTCTTTTTGTTTATTGAACAGTTCGCTCTCTTTGGCTTTTTTTTTTTGTTGCCCTGTTTTTTTTTTTTTTTGTAATTGCGACTCTGCGCAATAGATCGACCGTTGCCTACGACTGAGCCATGCGAACTGAAGTCGAGCCATAGGCGAGCAGGAAGAAAAGCCACAAAAATGAATAAAGTTGTGTTATTCGTTTTATTTTGTTTTGTTTTGTTTCACTTTTCTGTTTCATGTGCTTTATAAGACGGACGGACGGTCGGACGGCCACGCTAGCCAAATCATTTGTAATGCAAAAATCGAATTCGCTTTTCGACAACGGGGCGCCAAGGCGTATGGGAGAAATGCTCAATACAACGTATAACAATAAAACGCACTCGAAATTTGTATTTCTTGAAGCCAGTGCTTGTTTCAATCTGTTATACAGTTTTGTGCTCATGGCCATCATCAAATGGTGTTATACAAGCGAATGAAAGAAAGGCTCAACACAACGTATAACGAAATAAAAAAACGCACTTGAAAATGTTTATTTATTGAAGCCGGCGCTTGTTCCAATCTGTTATACAGAGTTCTGTGCCCATGGCCTTCTTCAAATTGTGTTATACAAACGTACGGTTGAAATGCTCAATACAAAGTATAACAGTAAAACGCACTTTGAAATTTGTATTTGTTGAAGCCGTTGCTTGTTCCAATCTGTTATACCGTTCTGTGCTCATGACCATCAAATGCTGTTATACAATTCATTGCTCAAGCGCAAAAAGTGCTCAAGTTCTATTTATAACTTTAGAGCCTGAGCACTTTTAGCGCTTAAGCAAGGAAATTGCAATTCCTGACATCAGGAAAGTACATTTACACACAATCGCACACTGTCCAGCTGATCTTGCGTGGGATAAACCATGCCCAGAAATTCCATAAGATGCGGCTGCATGCGCACAACCTCGCAATATTCTTCAAACGAGATGTGCATGTCCTTGTCGATATCAAATTTAGCAAATAGCACTTCAAGCATATCCTGTTGGCCGAAAAGAAGCAAAAGTAGCAATTAACAGGGCTTTTAGGCCAACAATATTTACAGTGCGCAGCTCAAAAATCTCATCCTCGTCATCGCCGTCAAAAAACTTTTCCACAAAAAACACCACGTCTTCCCGTTCCAAGTAGCCACGATCATTTTCATCGTAAATCTAAATATACGAATATATTCATATAACTTTTAACAACACTGTCCAACATATATGTATGTATCTTTTTATCACTTTTTAACACTGTTCAACGATTTCCACACTCAAACTTACGCTAAAGACGAACTGCATGCGTTTCTCCAGATCTGTGGAAAAGTAGATGGAGAACAGTCTGATGAAGCTGGCCAGGCTACAGTGGCGCTCCGACGAGGATTTTGGGTCCGTATAGTCCGGATCATAGCTAATACGGGCCACAATGCGTCTGTTTATTTCACGATCTGTCACATTGAACATCAGCTCCAATATATTGCTTAGCTGCATTAAGGTTATGAACTTGGCCTTGGGTCCATTACCCAGCGCAAATTTGTGATAGACCATGGAAAGGCAGAGCAACTCGGTCCTTGTAAAAGGTGACTCCATCTGCATGTGCGTGATCAAAGGCCCATATGTGTAATTGAAGCGCGCATTTTCCATGTAGTCCAAGGTAAGATCCAGATCCTTCATATCGTTAATTAGTCAATAAGTAAACTCACAAAAATGGGTATAAAATATTCAAATATGGCAACTGACAATCAAAAAATAACAGTTTTCTATATTTTGGGCTTTTCTTAAACCTTTGTTCCTACCAATCAATCCACGATGCTTTTCATTTTCTCTTGGCTCTTTAGATGGGATGTACTTCAAGTGGTCCCGAAAGGACCCGTTTCTGCATGAGAACCATATACAGCATATTTTCCCTTCTCAACTCATGCATTGCGCACAACCTCGGCATATTCATAATACAATTTGTGTAGATCCTGGAAAGCTTAATAAACCGAGAAAACAATACGTTGTTGCTGAATAATGCTAGCAACATACAATTATGCATGCGCCTTTTTGGCAACATGTTTTCAAAAACGTTTGCAACCTTTTGCCCAGACACATGTTGCTGTAACGCCAAGTAGAGTCTGACAAGCTTTCGTTTTTTATACAAGCATACATACATATACACACATCATATATATATACACATGCATATGCACAAATATACACACATGCATATATACATAATAATACATACATATATGTACGTACACCTAAATGCATGCATACATACAGACACATATACAAACCTACATAAATCGGCTTGCAGCTGTGTTGAGGAGATCGCGTATGCACTTAAATTAAAAGACATGTTTGGTAATGTATTTTCTTTATCTAATTGTTTAATTGTCCTTTGCTCGAATTATGTCATTTAGTAAGCAAAAGCAAAGTTACAGGATATTACTGCGCTAAACAACACAAAGTGTACATCCGGGTATATGGTATGTATATACGTGTGTGTGAGTGTGTGTGTGTGTGTGGTGTGTGGTGTGTGTGTGTGTGTGGGGCAGGGTGTAGACTTAGCAATGTACCTTAAAAGACTTTCGTATAGCTTACAAAACTGTATTCCTATCGAGTAACACGATAGCTATAAAAGTTAATGTGTATGAACAAAGATCATACAGAATACAACTACATAGATGTACAATTATCGTATAAGTATTTATATAATTAAAAAAATATTATAATCAAAATAAAAACTTAACATAGCTGCATGATAATAAAAAAAAAATAGAGTTCTAATACAGTGACAAAATAGAATACTGACTGACTGTTAGGATAGGTTTTCTTCAAATTGGAAATTGGAAAAACTCATGCGAGGATTTCTTTTGTTTCCTTTCTGCATGTGTGTTTCGAGGGTTCTTTGAGTATTATTTGATTTTTGTTTTGTTTGTTTGTTCTTGCGACACAACCGCTTGTGAAATTCATAAATATTCATAACTTTGTAGAGCAAGTTCACTTAACAGATACCAGGATACAAATATAATAATAATACTAATATTGAAAAAATGCAAATAATGTTTGCGTAGTGTGTGTTTGTTTGTCTGTCTGGGTGGGTGGTTGGTTGTCTGTTAGTCTGTGTTGTGGCATGCACCAAAACCAACGAAAAAAGAAAAAGAAAAAAACAGTCCATTCGATTTGTGTCCGTGCAGGGCGCGAAAAAAGACGTCGCCTGCGTGTGGCAACGTGAGTATATTGTATATGATTTAATGTCCATATTCAATCATGAATAGTCTGTGTCTTTTGAGACAATTTGAGAGTCTTCTACATTTTGCTAAACGCATTTCAAGCTAAGTTTTTTGTTGTTTCCTCTTTTGTATACAGTATCCACTAAATTCTGGCAATGCGTATTATCATGTGTTCTCGGTGACTGGGTGTGTGTGTGTGTGTGTGTGTGTATGGGTGTGCCTACAACAACTAGTTGTAAGCCAAAGAGTTGGTGTTGAGCGCCAGCGCTGCTTCCGTGCTGCTGCTGCTTGACGATGTCGATGGCTGTGGCTGAGCTGTGCCGCCATCCAGGTGCACATTATTATAGTCCGTTTTGGCATTGCAGCGCACGCCGTGCGGCAACTGTGACTGCTGCTGCTGCTGCTCCTCCTCCTGTAGCTGCTGCTGCTGTTGCAGTTCGCCGTTGCCGTTGTAGGCGCTGCTGTTGAGATTGTAAACAGTGAGACGGGCTTCGTGCTCGCGCCGCTGTTGACGCAACCGTATGTCGTGCTCCTCGCGCATATGTCGCAGCTTGAGGTCCTGCTCCTGTCGATAGTACGACATCTTGAGTTCCTGCTCCATTTGCTCAAAGCGCAGCTTTTGCTCGTGCTCGCGCCGTGCATAATCAATCTCGGCCAGGCGCGCTTGCTTAAGCAGCTTGAACAGCTGCTGTTTGTATTTCTCCTCCATGTCCAAGCAGCTAATTGCCTCATTGGCAGCTGTGGCTGGCGTATATGCTCCAACTGCGGCGGCACTAGCAGCCGGCGCCTCATCCTCGGATAGCACCGACTGTGCCTGTGAATGCTGTGGAAATGTATTTATCAAACGAGAGTTTCTTTTAAATGTTGCAATCTCTACTCACGTTGCGTTGTCGCCTTTTGCGCGTTGGTGAAGTCTTGTCGTTGTCCGGCGGGCCAGTAGTGCCGTCTGTGTCGTCCTTACTGCTCAGCAATGGTTTGGCTTTGGCACGTTTGCGTCTATTGGGCGCTGATTGCGGTTGGGCGCTCTCCTGCTGTGAGTCGCCGCCGGCGGTGGAGGGCGGTGGTGAGGGTATGGCTATGGTGGATGTTTGCAATGTATCCTCACTGGCATTTGTTGAATTTGGCAAGGCAGCCAGTGGCATATCCTCGTCCTCATCTAATTCGAGCAGTTCCTTTTTCAGTGGTACATTTACAGCGCCATTGGTGCCGCTGCGCGTTTGACTGCGCGACGATACCGGATCCTTTTGCAATTCCTCCATGAACTCAATCATGCGCATGCCCTCTAGCGCATCCGATTTTGGATGCTTTTGCTGATGTTCGCGCTTCGCCGAATTTTTCATGCTGCGCCACTGCACTTGAATTTGCTCCAGCAGGCGATGTCGAAAGTTCAGGGCATTGAATCTGTAAGTGAATATATAAATGGGCATTAATTGAAGTGCTGCACATAATTGTGTACACTTACTGTTTGGTTATTTGCGACCAGGCCAGTCGCTTGGCCTTGATGCTTTTGGCGTCGACGCTGCGATTCTCAACGAATGCAACTTTTGTTTTGATGACCTCTAGCAGCAGGCCGCGCTCCGCTTCCTCCCAATTGAGTGAACGTTTTTTGCGTGTGCCTTTTTTCTTGCCCGTTGCGCTTTCCTTTTCAGCAGACTCCTCAGCAGCATCTTCAGCGTTCTCCACCCCCTCGTCGGAGGCATTTGTGGCTTTTGTTTTCGACTCCGCCTTTTCATCATCGTCGTCGTCCTCCTGCGGCGATGATGCACCCTTTGTCAAGAGCTCTTCCAGTTTCATTTCGCTTCTCAGTTTATTGTTTTTGTAGTCTTTTTTTAATTGTTATTATCGTTATTTAAGCGCGTTTCCGATTTGCAAAAAATTCTTATTTGATTTCTGTATATACAACGCAACGGCGTTGCCACCGCGTCAGAATGTTGCAGGAGTGGCAACTTACAGCATCGCGGCGCTACTATCGATATATGTGCTGCTGCATCACTGTGCTCTAGTATGCCTTGAACTCTATCGATACATTCTCGTACCATACTCAAGTATCGAGCAAAGTAAGTAGGCAGGCTAGAAAATATAATCTCATTGGAAAATTATATATTTTATTATACAAAACGCAGCGAGATGGCTTTCGGTGACTATCCAGCTGAGTATAATCCGAAGGTGCACGGACCTTACGATCCAGCACGCTACTATGGCAAAGGTGAGCGAATTTGCAAAATTACGTAATTTTCTGCCGCACGCTATTGCCGCATAATACGATTGTCCCATCTATTTTATGTAATTGTTTTATTTGCAATCGCAGCTGATGTGCCCTTCGGCCAAGTTAAATTGGGAGAGTTGGGCTCCTGGTTTGGACGCCGCAACAAGACTCCAAGCGCCATTGCTGGCGCCGTTAGCCGTGCCTGGTGGCGCTGGCAGCACAAATACGTGTTCCCCAAGCGTGCTGGCATTGCACCCTTCTTCCAACTGACCGTCGCCAGCATGACGTTCTTCTACTTGATCAACTACACCAAGTTGAAGCACCACAGGAACTACAAGTACCATTAAGCGGTTCATCTCGTTTAAGCTCTTCAGTGTACACTTTGTAATTATAACTTTATTGTTGCCATTCGATAAAGTGGGAGAGTTAAAAAAAACACACAACACACGACAACACAATACATTTCTTGTTTTGAAGACGGCCAATTCTAATAAATATGTCTGCGAATAACTGTGCTGCACCAAATAACTGTGAACTAATTTGTGATTGGTTTACCGGTTCGACCTTCGCTCCGTCCCTTTTTCAGTTCGTGAATCTGGTTTACTTCATTTAAATGGAATAATACAGTCGCAGTTGTTTCATTTACGGATTCTTGGTATGTTGAAATCAAGACTGAAGGTAAATTTATCAATATATCATGTTTGTATAGTTTTTTCTTTGGACTAATCCTTTTCGTAGCAAAAAATTGGAATTTTCAAGCTCAACTCGGGTTATCGTTAATACTTTTCAGTAACACGCATCGGCAGCATTTGCTCCCGTATCCAGTTGCCTGTTCGTGCTGGATCTCGCAGGCGTAAAGATCTCGCATATGAAGGGCAGCTCGCGCTCACAGCTCAGCGTTTGCCAAGTGCCCTTTGGAGTCAGTGCCACGCAGCTAGCATTAGCCTGACTGCCCCTTCGGATACTTGCTGTTAACTTGGCTATTTCAGAACTCAAGCAATTCCACTTACCCCGATCGCGGATGACCCTCATGCCAGGCGCGGTACAGAAAACAGAGCAGGCTCTCCTGCTGCGCATTGCGATAGTCCATCGGCCGGAGAGAGCTGGAGCTATTAAACTGCAAGCCCACATAGGCCAAAAATATGCCCGGTACGGGCTGCTCTCCGGCGCGTTGTTTATTGTACTCGAAGAGCCAACGGGACAGTGCATAGGTGCGCGCCTCGGAGGCAACGTGCGCCAGGCTGCCGCTAAACTCGCTGGCATGGCTGCAGCTGCGCGAGGCATTCAGATAGCTGGCGGGCCGTGTATAGAACACAAAGAGTCCCACATGCGGCACGCAGCTGATGTTGTGCAGCGCTGCGGATTAGCTTTTGAGTTTAGCGCACCTTTCAAGCTAGCTGCTCGCTCACCTGTGGGCCTGCCATATAAGCTGTAGTAATCGAAGCGACTGTCGTTCAGCATGCCCGCAAAGCTAATATTCTGCGGACACTGCAGCACATGACAGTTGAAGAAGTCCGCCGGCTGCTCAAAGACTGTCAGACGCTTGCGTGCTTCCTTGTCGTAGGCATCCCTTGGCTGCTGCTCGAAACGATTTGTGCGCCGTTCTGGCCCACCTGGCGCATAGTTTAAGGCCAAGCCACGCAGCTCACGCGCCAACTTCATGCAAGCCTCCAGCGTCGGAGTGCTCTCCAGAGCCAGTGCCTCAGTCGTAGCGGCACGCTGGCACTGGCGCACCAGCTGGAACTGCAGTGGAGCGGCATTTTCCGCCGGGCAGCGCAGCGCGTTCAGCTCTGGCAATTGCCAACCGTTTGCCAGCAACAAGAGCAGCCACATGGCTAAGTGCATTTGGTGGCGTGTCCAGCATTTATATTCATGCACCTGTGACAGCTGATGACAGCATTGAAAGCTCTTTTATGGTCAATTTAATTTTATTGTTCATTTTCATAGTTTTATTTTTAGCTTAGGCCTAACTAGGTTCTTGATTTAAGATAATACAGTGAAAGCTCGCTTGAGCGAACTGATCTAAAGCAATACATTAATTCTTTAAAAAGGCGATTTTATTTTTAAATTTTACAATCTTGATAAGAAATTCTTCAATTTTTCGATTTGCATATAATTTAGAAGACCTATTTGTCCACTCTGTGGATAGTTTTTGTGCAAAAAAAAACTAAAGTTCATTAAGTGGAGCTTTCACTGTACGATGTTTGTGTATTTATTCGAAATTCGCATTGCACGGCTCCAGGCGAGCATTCTAAGAAAATAGGTCCAATGCTCAAATGAAGCTGTGCAAAAGCTTGGGTTAAATATTTAATTAATACAGTTTTTATATATTATTAATAAGAGCGGCTGCATGCTTAAAGTAAATAGTAGTATTTAAATATTGTAGTGCAAATAGTTTAAACAATGACAAGAAAAAAATTGTACAGAACATTTAACTAAGAACAAAGTTTCGCAGGTTTTTGTTTTTGTTTTTTTTGGAACTTAGTTATTTTTAAATTTTAAAGTACAAATACAAATATCACCTGAGCGTCGGCTGCTGCATTCGTTGTTAGTTCGAGTGTTTAAAATTAAACAGTTTAAATAGTAGGATAAATACAATATTTATAAATAAAGTTTAATGACTGCACTACATAGGCCGGGAGGGGGGTGGTGAGTTTTCTGATAAGAATCTGGGAGGAAGGGAGTCCAACCACCACCGACACGAAAGTGCCTAACAGAGTGCCAAAGACAGTGCTGCCAATGCTTATGTTTTGTATTGCAAATGGCAGCACTGCACAACTCTGCGACATTAGCGGGCAATTAACAATAATGGGCAAATTGCCCGGTAATCTCTGCACAGGGATTTACTTTTTGCAAAACTTAAAATAATAATTTGATTAGCTTAAAAAGTTGTGACCTTATGGACTAAAAACTGCTATCCAACTTGTCACGAGACATTTGACAATTGACTACCGCAGGCGGCTGCGTGTGCATCTCTTCATCTCTTGTTTATCCTGGCCTTAAAACCGATTCGTTTTACTTTTTTATTGTTTTTTTTTAAACACTTTGAGTGTTCCATTGTTTTGTTTTGGAAAAATTTGCGAAATTTTTAATTGAAGCTGTCACATTTCACTGCTGCTGCGGCTTAGCTGCTGTGCGAGAAGGCGGTGTTTGTATAGGGACCGCTGTATATGGAGCTGCCGGAATTGGACACCGTCTTGGTGCTACGACGTGCCATAATGCACAGCACAGCGGCCACCACGGCCAGCATAAGAATGAGACCCGCAATGGCGATGGCAATGGCAAACGTGCGCTGCGATACGCACAGGGCATCCTCCAGAGTCTGTAAAGTACATATACGCATAGTTATTAGCAGGCAAGGACAGTTAACTTCGGACTGCCAAGAATTGGCAATCCATCAAACCGTGTGAATGGTTAACATACCTTCTCCTTGTACACCGCATCCTCCTCGCTGTCATTGGCATTCTCGTTCTCATTGACATAGAGGCCGGAGAAGACCTCAATGGTCGCCGGCAAGGCTTCATCATCTTTGCCCTCGCTGGCCTGGCGTTTGGGCCGCTTGCCGCTGCAGACGGGCGCCTCCTGGCAACTGGGATCCTCCAGCGCGCACAGGCGCACATTACACTGATAATACACGGAGGTGGTGTAGGGGAACTTGTGCGCCGGGAAGGTCACATTGGCCGCCAGGCGATCCTCCGTATAGTTGAATTGACCCATGATCTCGTTGTCCATGGGACAGCTGCCAAAGTAAGCAGAAGATTAATCAAATGCCAAACCAACTCAAGCCGCTCCACTTACCCATCTTCGCCCACCAGACGCTGTTCACCCCAGCCGAGGCCGTCGCGCACAATGCAGTCCGTCACATGCAGTCCGTAGAGCTTCTGCTCATCAATGCTGATGACAATGGTCAGCGGATCGCCAATTTTCACATCGTCGGCTATCTTGTGCTCCTCATTGTAGATCTTCATATGGCAGCCGGGCATGGGCAGTTCGTTGTTGGTCACATCGTTGTCATCCTGCACATCCACATCGTAGACGTCCTCCTCGTCCAGGTCGTCATCAGTCAAACGTTGCTTGTCCAGCGAGCGTCCATAGTCGCGCCGGTCGTGCTCATCGCTGCGGAATGCCTGCGGCTTCTGCGCATGCTTGCGCAGGTATTTCTTGGGCTTGACGGCCGCATCGCGGCTCTTGTAGGCACAGCGCACATGATAGCCGCGTCCCAGATCCGTAATCAGTTTCAGATGCGGCTGCAGCACAATCGTATTGAAGAACTCAATGCCGCCATCGTCCTGCAAACGCAAAGCAAAATGTATTAGTTTGTGGCATCAAAGAAATTGATTGTGTTTTTTGTCTTTGCTAAATTTGTTTTTAAGCAGATTCAACTCACTCGAGCTCTCTAGGCTGGTAAATGTACACCTTTTTGGTGTATAATAAATAAAGCAACTATTGCTAATAATCAAAATATATATTACTTGACTGTAGAATATTGACTTTTAAGTTCCAAAAGTTCGTCAAACAGTTCTAGCTCTCGACAATTGCTGCGCATAAACAAAAGACTTAAGCAACAAACTTGTCATAGCCTCAAATCAAATCAAGGGCTGGCAGCTGCCCAACTGCCCAGCTGCCCAAGAAGCCATATTGGCGAGCCCAACCGGAATGCAGCCAGACAACTAGATGTGTGTGCCCACCGTACATAGTACAATGGGCCGTACCCGTGTCTCATTATGCATACACATTTACG